TATTTTTTGAGTAATTATAGGGTAATCTTTATAATCAAAAAATAAAAATGTTGCAAGGGAGTGAAAATAATTAGGGCCCGGATTTTTAGGGTATATTCTATTTTTTGCGAGAAATAGTTATGATGAATTGAGCTCAAATCTGTTGTTAGTTTTTGTTGATCTTTTGTTTACTTTGAGGCCGAAATTTCAAAAAATTGAGACCAACTTTCCGAAAAATATTCGTTGTGCTGACAAAACTTTTATGTTATACTCTAAGCATTAGACAAGAAAATAAATAATAGCTTTAGATAATTTATTCAGTAATTTAATTAACATTTATTTAATTTACAAAGAGTAAAGCTTTATTTAATTTTCAACATTTTACTCAAAATTTTTTCATTTAATTAAACATCCCCCCTTTTCAGAACACTCAGAAATTAATAAGGAGGTGGCTTCTTGGTTGGTTTTTTAGGATAACCATCGGCATTTATAGCAGGCACAAACACCATAGAGCAAGCAATCAAAAAAGCAACAAAAATTGCCATTAACTAAATAAATTTTTTTTGTTAATTTTTAAATTAAATTATTTACTACCTTCATTTTTAGTAGTAGAGAGTTATTAAAGTAGTTTTTAGTTAAAAGAGAGAGGAGAGAATGTTTTTGAATGATTTGTCACTAAAATTCAACAACTATTTATTCTATCCAATTTTGAATTTAGGTAATTTTCTTCCTTGTTTACGTGGCAAAACAATAGTGATAGAGGAAATTAATAAGGCCCCTCGATCTCGGTTTTTCCAGTCGGTGATCCTCGGTCTTGGTTTTTTCAAAAAACCTTACAACTTTAATTTAAATTTAATTTTCTTCCTTGTTTACGTGGCATACTTGATTGAAAAAATAATTATTTTGTCATACACAATTGTTATTATACATATTAGTCATGCAATTGTTGTTTTTAATATACAAACACATCCAGTAATTATAAAATTTATTTTATTTTTTTATTTATCAAAAAATTTATTTCCTTTAGAAATATCCAACAGTTAAAAATTAAAAAAGAATTTAGAAAAAAAAATATTCTTACTCATCTAAAATAAAATTTTATTTTTTTTTCAAATTATTCAGCATCAAAAGTCAAAAACTTTTTATAAATTATTCTAACAATATTTTTATTTTTGCATCATTGTTTCCCTTTTTGTTTTATTTTTATTTCCTTGATTTTCCAAACTAAATGTTTTGATTTCATATAAAAAAGTCGCAAGTTTACATATATTATTTTGGTGAAATTTGGTTTCCTGTTACGTGTCTTCAAAAAATTTTTTATTTTTAAAAATATATTAGTAATTTATATTTAAGTTTCCAACAATTAAAAATATTATAAAGCAGCATCAAAAATTTGCTTAAATTATTCAAACAATTTTTTATTCTTACATCATTATTTTCATTTGATTTTATTTTTTAAAGAAGAATTTATTTAATTTTTTTAAAATTGAGGAAATTGATAAAATGTTGACAACACGACAATTATCAAAAATATTCGTGAAAATATTCTGACAAAATAATTATTTTTTGTCTATCAAGTATGCCACGTAAACAGGGAAGAAAATTACCTAAATTCAAAATTGGATAGAATAAATAGTTGTTGAATTTTAGTGACTAAAATCATTCAAAAACATTCTCTCCTCTCTCTTTTAACTAAAAACTACTTTAATAACTCTCTACTACTAAAAATGAAGGTAAATAATTTAATTTAAAAATTAACAAAAAAATTTATTTAGTTAATGGCAATTTTTGTTGCTTTTTTGATTGCTTGCTCTATGGTGTTTGTGCCTGCTATAAATGCTGATGGTTATCCTAAAAAACCAACCAAGAAGCCGCCTCCTTATTAATTTCTGAGTGTTCTGAAAAGGGGGGATGTTTAATTAAATTGAAAATTGTAAAAGAGCGCTACTTGATGTAATTTAAAATATATGTTAATTAAATAAATAAAGTAATTGTCTTGTGTATATCAGAAAAGGGTACTTTATGGATATGTCACCCCCCCTCCTATTTTGAGTCTCAGAGTTTTCCTTATACGTAGAAAATGGTCAGAGATTATTTTCTTCTCCATGTCAATCATTTTTTTCTTCAAGCAAAATAAGTTAAATGAGGAAACGAAATGAGTGAAAATGTAAGTACAAAATTCAAAAATATGTGAAAAGGCAAAATAAAAAAAGCAAAATACTTGGAGAAGAAAAAAATGATTGACATGGAGAAGAAAATAATCTCTGACCATTTTCTACGTATAAGGAAAACTCTGAGACTCAAAATAGGAGGGGGGTGACATATCCATAAAGTACCCAGAAAAGTTTGTCCGCAGTTTCTGTTAAATATCAGTAACCTATTCGAGAGGGTTCTGTAAAAGGGATCTAAAGAAAATATAGAAATATAAGATATATATATTGTTTAAAATATGTAGGTCACTCGGTTTAGGTTTTTCAAAAATGTTCTAAAAATGCTTCTTCGGAAAGTTGTTCTCTATTTTTTGAAATTTCGACTCAAAGTGAAAAAACGGAATATTGGGCTTTAAAATTTTAGTCGCGAGGACCTCGTACTCGTATTACGTACCTGAGTACGAGTACGAATTTTGGTACGAGCTTATAAAGTCTAAGAAAATCTCAAGAAAAGAGATAAAAGATTTTGATTACAAATTTTGATATTTATATTTAAGTGAATTTTTTCTCTTCTGTTTTTTCATTTTTAAAAAATTTTTTCTTATTTTTTATAAATTTTTTCATAATTTTTATTTTTGTCAATATCTTTTCTTACTTATTTTCTTATATTTTTCTGTATATTTTTTTCATTTATTTGATTTCTATTAATTTTTTCAATTTAACTTTGATAAAAGATTTTGATTGCAGATTTTAAATTTTATATTTAAGTGAATTTTTTCTCTTCTGATTTTTCATTCTTGAAAAAATTTTTTCGATTTTTTTTTATTTTTTGTTTTGGTTCTACTTGACTTTATGAGTTCATCGACTCCCACTAGCATGCCGCAAACCCCTGCGCGAGCGCGGGGTTTTTCACAAGCGCCTCGCCTACGCTCCATAGGTCTTCACTTAAGCTCGACGGCTTTGACAATCGATGACACGATTGGATCTTATTGACAATCGATGAAACGATTTGATAAAGTTGGGTTATTCCGGATCCCAACGTATAATTCAGGGGTTTTCTCCGGTTGATACTCCTCGTATTACATACACTGGTATGATCCAAGTTACTAAAAGGATTTATTGGTTAGATAAATCTAACAACAAAAAATTTATTTATTAAAAATAATAAATGTAAATACTATTACCCAGGAAAGCGGGCCCTGCTCCCTAAATAATAATAAGTACGCGATCCATTCATAATATTTATTTCATTTATAAAAACAAACATAAAGGTGTGATAAAAGGGAAAAAGCAACCAGAAAAGTAAGCATGCATAACTGATCATTGTAAGGTTGGAGAAATGGATTTATATAAGTGATTGGGACATAAAATATACATGGGAAAATACAATTGTAATAAAGATAAAAATGAGTAAGAATAAATGGTAAATAATTAATTTATAGTTAAAGTCGGATATGCCTTACACCTCCCTCACCCCCCCCCCATGAAAATGGTCCCCATTTTAAGTTAGATGAATTTCTTTTCTTTTGTTGTTTTCTCTTTTTCTTGATGATTCTTTTTTTCAAAAAATTCCTTTTCTTCTTTTTTTATTAAATTCAAGTATTGATTGCTCTTGTTGCTTTACTTTTATATACAAGGTGTCCCAACTAAAAAGCACTATTTTAAAAATCAATAACTTTTTACTATCTTGACTGATTTTAATGTTTTTTGGTATTTTATATCTATAATTTATGAGAATTTTTTTGACATAAAAATTATGTCTAAATTCGAACCCTAACCCGAGATAATTTCGTACTCTACCGTTCTGTTTTTCCCTTTTTCCGCACATGCATTCTTACTCCCTTTTGTTTTTTTTTGAGCAGCGATAGACACTAGAGTAAACACTAGGCGATAGACACTGCATTTTCAATACAGTATCTTCTCTTCGCCATACGCAGGAAAATAAATGAAGTAAGATAGCCCACAATGAAAAGAGGGAAAAAAGAGAACGGTAGAGTACGAAATTGAAACGAAATTGAAATACAGGGTTAGGGTTCGAATTTCGACATAATTTTTATGTCAAAAAAATTCTCATAAATTATAGATATAAAATACCAAAAATCATTAAAATCCGTCAAGATAGTAAAAAGTTATTAATTTTTAAAATAGTGCTTTTTAGTTGGGACACCCTGTATTTCCTTTTTTATAATTTCTTTTTTATTTTTTCTTTTTTTAATTCTTCTACTTCTCTCTTTTTTTAGAGTTTTTGATGATTCTTTTTTTAGTTTTGATTCTTGTTTCTTTTCTTTTGTTGTTTTTGGAGGGATGAATGGAATGGAAAAATTGTTTTAGTAGGGAAGGCATATCTTTTTGGAAAAGTAAAAAATAAAAAGATAAAAATTGAGGTGATTAAAAATGAAATAGAAATTGTGGATAATAAAATTGTTGGAAAATTGAGAAATAATTAAAATTTAAATGACTAATACATTAAAGTTTAAAAAATTGGTATTGGAATATATATGTGAAATAAAAAAATATCACTATACATAGAGGGAAAATATAAATTTGAGGTAAACAGAAATTTGAGGTAAAAATAAGTAAAATATTACTATACATAAAAAAATATGTAAATTTGAGGTAAAAACTACAACGTAAGTCTAACATAAATTTGTGTAAAAAATATCACTAAAAATAATTAAAATACAAATTTTGAGGTATGATTAAAAAATACAAGTAAGGTGAGGTTTAAATTTAATTAAAATCATTTTTGGGGAAATTAATATAAAATTTAAAAAAAATTACAAATTAAACGGGGGTCAGGAAGCACTAGTGCCATTTTCAGCGTCGTCCTCTGCCTCTTCCTAGTTCGTTCCTTCATGGTTGTGAGTTCTCCTAGCAGTCTTTGGCTAGGTGTCCAGAACGTTGGAATCGATGATAAAGTCGGGCTTGTTGTCCACTCCTTCGGCTTGTTGATGGCTGTGATGTTGATGGTTGTCCAAATCCAAGGTTGGCGACGAATTCACTTGATGGTGCTTCTTGACTGATGTTGCTGTCATGTTCTTTCCATTCATCATAGAAGTTTGATGCTCTGACAGTTCCATTTGGTCCAATAAGCACTCCATTTTCATATTCTGCCTCCGGTTCTGCCATCACTTCAATGTAGTTTGGTGTCACTGCCACGGTCTTTTACAAAGCCTTCTTCAAGAAGCGGCGCAAGATTCCACCTGCAGTCCACAGCATTTTTAAGTCGCCGTTCACAATCATTCCAAATTTTCCGCTGCTCAGTGCCACGTTGACTCTTCTTTCATCATTCCAAAACGCACCACTTCCATCAACTGTTGTTAATCCTGCCTTTGTTGTCACGACGATGGCCAGGTCGGCTTCGTGTCCTTGGCATCCATCAGCTGTCGAAACAGTTCTTCCAGGAGTTAGGCGGAAGAACTCTGCTGTTCTTCCAGGAGTTAGGCGCTCGTTGTGTGCGGCGTATGCTCCGGCTTCAATGCATGCCGTTACCTCTGGATGTGACCGGAAGTTGATCTACAAGGTTGCCCTGTCCATCCTAAGGGCTTCATCCAGGTTCCAAATGATGGTATCGAGCCCCAATCCCTGCGCACTGCCTCCGGGAACTCCCTAAATAGATAGATAACTGACTCCTATCCCCTGCTATTAAAAGTTTATTTAGCTTAGGGAAATTTGTTAAAGTTGATAAAAATTGTGCGAAACTTGCCTGACCAGCTTCGTCACAAACAAATACCGTAGTATCTTCAAACAATCCGTCAATCGCTTTTCCTTTGAAAGTACAATTTGGGCTACCTTACCTTCATTGGCCATGCGGGGGGAAACTCGGCAAGCTCGGATGTATAGGTTCACAACATTTTTCTGTTGATCATCCAGAGTCTCGAACAGCTGCGGTGCACTGATCGCTGAGGCCAGCACGTGGTCACCAATTTTTTCCAGGTCCTTGGTCTTCCCAGTCCCAGGGGGTGCCTGAATAAACACCACCCTGGGCTGGCTGTCGAGCATAAGCATGGCTGTTGCTTTTGAGCACCTACTAAATCATTTAAAACGGGATTATGAGCCTCGAAAAGCTCAGCCCATCCGACTCTCGGAGCCGGCTGCTTCTCTGTGCCAAAAGCACAGACATAATTACACCCAAACCTGTCTGGAGTCTCGCTGCTTCCGTGAACTCACCCATGGCAAACTTAGTTGCCCGCTGCAATAATGTTCTCTTGGACTGAAGAGGCTCTACCTCAGTAGCAGCCCCATTCATCACCCTCTCCTTGTCTTCCCAGGCATCGTAGTTACGAGCCTCTTGGTACGCTAAAAATAATCGAGAATCTAATATGTAACCTACCTCGCCTTCTAGACGCTCAGTGTTGACAATATAACCAGTTCCACAGTAATTTGCTTCAGGGGCAACTAACCGGACGTGTACTGGTTGATCTTCCCTCCAAAGTTTGCTCATATCCACCATATACTCCTTCCTTTCAACCACGTGCCTCACTCGAACATTTGCGGTACCATCTGAAGCGGCGCCAGGCAACACTTCAGCTGAGTGATGATCTTGAAGCGTTCAATTTGTCTCCACCCGATCAGCACAAGCAGTGATTGCAGCCGCAAGCACAAGTTCCATCTGGTCCAAGTCGTCTGGTGAGTCATTGGGCCTTGGGGGAAAACTAAATTTCAAATTATCATTTTTAATACCTAATGCCACGAATGGCTGATGAGCCTTACGCTCATTGGGGGCACCGAATAGGCAAGTTTGAGGCAAGACCCAATGCGGACTTACCTTCCACTCATTGGGTCTCAATAAACAAACCGTACTCAATTGTACCGGTTGTCCCATCCTCAGAGCAGTTCGGTTCCCAAGTTGACACAATGGGAGTTTCTGTGCCACCTTCATGCCATTGACAATCACTGTCGCACTTCTAATCGGGTTCTCAGCTATTTCGTACTGCATCCGAACATTTTCAACGCCCGAACGTAAGTGGCCTGCTGTTCAGGTAGAGTTATGTGCGATAATTTATGCTTTAAGGGGTTTAAACCTTTTATTTTTATGAGCGATATTGAGTTACACACGGATCACAAACCTTTAGCATATCTACTTAAAAAGTCAGAAACACACCCTCATTTAGCTAGATGGTTAATAGAAACAACACAAAAAACAAAACACCCTAGCAACAAAACACCCTAGCTGATGCATTGTCTAGAGATGCGGAAGATGTTCCTATTCAAGAGTACAACAACTAACAGAAATGGAAGATATTGTTGTATTCCCAGTCTGCTTTGCAATAACAATGGACTCAAGAATCGTATTAGATCCTTTCATAAATACTTTAACTCTAAGACATGCCGAAGGCAACTCTTATCGAGTGGACTCAACAAAAGAGCAAATAGATGACCCGCAAATAGCCATTTTCTTATATATTGAATAGATCGATTCTGATAATCCCGGACAAATACTGACGTATGAATCAGAGCTTGGAGTTTTCGAGCAGTTTCTTTTAGTAGAAAGTGGAGAAGGAGATAGATTTCATTAAAAATGGGAAATTTCCGGAGGGATTTGATAAAAATGAGTAAGAATAAATGGTAAATAATTAATTTATAGTTAAAGTCGGATATGCCTTACAAAATAAATAAAAATTATAATAATTGAAAATGAATTGAAATAACAAAAAATCGGTTAAGCCATTTTCTTATATATCGAATAAGTTGGGCGGTCATCTTCTTTCTTCTGTCTGGGAAAGTGGCTTGGCTTTTTGACGATCGTTATCTTCCTAGACTGCAAAAGAAAGAAAAATGACTAAGTTTAGTGTAAAAACCATTTATTTATTATTGTATGGGAAAGGAATGGCGCGTCGGCCAATGAGAGATATTTCGCGAGAGAACATTGTACTTTGTCTCAATGTGCGCTCGCGACACCTAAAATTCAATCGGTCTCAAGTAAATTTCCGCTACTGTAACTGCGGAATATCCTAAAAATAGATCGATTCTGATAATCCCGGACAAATACTGACGTATGAATCAGAGCTTGGAGTTTTCGAGCAGTTTCTTTTAGTAGACAGTGGAGAAGGAGATAATGATCGTATTCTGGTTTTTGGTCGTGAAACTTTTCAAGGTTTTTTAATTTTGGAAAATTTTTGTTTTATAATTCAGAATGGACCATTGGGACCATTCTATCAATGGTATTCTATCATTCTATCAATGGTCCCAATGGTCAAGGAGGGCGTGTCCTAATTTTTGGGACACGCCCTCCTTGTCGCGGGCCACCTTGTCGCCCATCGTTGTAACCTTGGGATGAAGTACGGCACGTGGCAAGCAAAGTTTAGGCGGCTCCATGACAATTGTACAGTGGGACAATTGTACAGTGAGACAATTGTACAGTGGACAATTGTACAGTATTAAGAGTTTTTTAAAATAAATTTAATGTTAACCCAAAGTATCAAAAACATAAGATCAACACTAAATTTTTTAAATTTTATTATATAACATGGGGGAGGTGTTCCAATGACGGAACAAACTTCAATTCGTTGAATGAACAGCGATGTGGGTGATCAATCGTGCGACTGATCAACCAAGAGTGATCAATCAGTTGAGTGATCAACCTAGAAAGTGAAAATCGGAAAATGTTGAAAGATACCAAAATCGAAAACCGAGTAATGATCAACCGGAAGTGATCAGCGAGCAATAAACGACACAGATATCGATCACCTTAGGTATCAATCAAGATTCCCGTTAGAGATTAATTAATCAATCGATCACTCTCTCGGTTGATTAATTGAAAAATTGATCAAAATAAGCTTCCCCGCCATTGAACAACTTCCCAGTGTTCTATAATAAAAATTAAAAAATTTAATGTTGATCTTATGGTTTCGATACTTTGGGTCAAGTGTATATATATTTCTTACTGATTATCGTAAAATTAAATTTCTTTTTAAAAATCTCTGAATACTGTACAATTGTCCACTGTACAGTTGTCAACTGTACAATCGTCTCACTGTACAATCGTCCCACTGTACAATTGTCGTGCCACCGTTTAGGCCAACCTTAAAAGAAAAATCAAAGGAAAGCTTGCGACAAAGTGGCCTGCGACAAGGTGGGCCTGAGACAAGGTGGCCTGAGACAAAGTGGTCGCGTCAAGGTGGCTCGCGACAAGGTGGGCCGTACCCCTAATTTCTAATGTTGGGACACGCCCGAAACGGCGCGGGCCAAAACGGCGCGACCGAAACGGCGCAAGGCCAAAACGGCGCACGGCCCAAAACGGCGCAAAAATTTCCCATAAGCTAATCTTACGTGAGGTTTAGCTCGAATGGTGATGTTATCTTTTGCGAAGTGAACAGAAAAATAGCAGATGTAAAGGTCGCATTTGGACAACATCTTGTGATAACAGAGTGATAGCAAAAAGTAAGAGTGATAACAAAACTATTTAGATCGTATAATTACTAGTAAGTATAACTGCGAGAAATAACTGCGGGATTCAGATAGTTCCAATATTACTAGTTAGTTTCCCCTATAACTACATAGGTATATTACTAGTTAGTTCCCCTATTACTACTATATTGTTATCCCCATATTATTACTGTAACCATCTAGACTTGGTTATTTTTATTCTGGTCGTTGATGTCGGAACATTTCACCGCTGCTGGAACAACTTTTCTCAATGATGGAGCGATCTTCCAAATTGGAACAATTTTCCTCATTGCAGATTTTAAATAATTCGAATAACAAATAGGTTAATCATAGAGATCAATTGATCACTCTCACAGTTGATCACATATGATAACACGATTAATCACTATTACTGTGCAGTTTTGGGTTTGCGCCGTTTTGGGCCGTGCGCCGTTTTGGCCTTGCGCCGTTTCGGCCTGCGTCGTTTCGGTCGCGCCGTTTCGGTCGCGCCGTTTTGGCCCGCGCCGTAATGGGCTGTACCCTCTAATGTTCGTGATAATTTTTCATGTTCAAACAAATCTAATTTTTCGGCACTTTGTCGATCATAAATTTTTTACCAGTCGGTCAGGAATTTTGATTTATTTGTATATTGTAGCCTATTTAATGCCCTATCCAATGGTACAAGAACAAAAAAAGTGACCATCCTTCATAAGTAAGTGTCCGGTACTCAATTGAGGTGTGCCCCTTTTCTCATCCTTGCTTAACTTGGAATTGGAATGTGTTCTTTCATGTTCTTCCAGGTTGTCTTAAACTTAAATTTTTTTCAATTTTAGATGCTTAATGTCTGCAAAACAAATTATCGAAATTTTCCTTCCTCTCTTACTAAATTACGTTTTCTTCATTATTCACGTTATTTAAAAAACATAAATGAATTAAAAGAATCAACAAGTAATTTAATTCCCAATGAAATTGAACAAAATTTACAAAGATGGGAGAAAGGAATTAAACTTGGCTTTGATTTCACAGAAAATCCCAATCAACTACAGAACCAATGGATGGGGTTATCTTTGGAATGTGTTGATTTTAAACAACTTTCAAGTGCATTTATTACTTTATCAACAAAAAATGTTTGTTTTTTATATTTAATAATCTCGTACTTTGTCTATATCTTCAGGTTAAATTTCCTTTTGTCCTTTTCTGCCTCGGGATTTTTACTGTGCCGGCTATTTTTTCCTTCCTAATAATTTGCCTTATTTTTGAGGCAAATTAATGATTGACAGCAATAAAGAAAAATAATCTGAGTTCCGAATAGGAGGGGGATATGAACAGAGTAGCGATAATGTTGTTTTCGGGAGCAGGCCAGTGTACCGCCGAGCTATAACTTTGTCCAAAATTGTCGAATCCGTGGCGCCCTGTTAAGTTCGATTCAGCTGGTCGAGACGCACGAACCATGCCAGGGCGCCACGGATTCGACAATTTTAAACAAAGTTTTAGTTTGGTGGTACATTGGGCTCGCGGTACATCGCGGTGTATCCGTAACGGGCATTACTTTTGCACCCAGCTGTATTACTCCTAAACTTACAAATTTTAATTTGCCTATCATTATTTTCAATAATTTGTTTTTAAGCTTTCGAAATCACAACTTTCTTCTTTACGTCTTTTGAATCTTAATGCTGGCAGAAATCTTGATTTGAAGATTTTGGAACCAAATAGTGAAACAATTATTGAATGCGCTTTTTTAAGACTATCCAATTACTATCTTTTAGTTAAAACAAATATTTTTGTTTTTGATGCTTCTAATTTGCGTGGAAATATTAAGGTTTATTTTTAAATTTTTGAATTTTTTTGGGGGGGGGGATGTGAGAAAATTTTACAAAATTGTTTCAATTGTTTTAATTTTCAGGGAAAATGTTTTGACATTCGTTTAAGCAATAATTACTCATTGAAAAAGGCAATTAATTTATTTGGAAATCGAGAAGAATTTACTAAATACAAAGGTTATGATGCAATGCTTTATGCCTTCAAATGTAAAAAAATGCCTAATTTTGGTGATGATCCAGATATTAATAAATTTATGCCTCTTTACAAGGTTAACACTTTGGTAGTTGTGGGTTAACCCAAAAAGTTTTTCCGGACAAATTTATGCTGACATTTATGTACGAAAGGCCAATGGTTCTTCCCTCCTCGATTTCACTCAATTTTCTCTGTGGCATTTCTTTAATGAGAGCATAAATGAGTCCGCAAAAACTGGTTTGGGAGAATCCACAAGTACCCCTTTTTTATTTTACTTTGGATTTCTCTTATATTTTCGACAGACAATATTTTTAAACGTTGAAATCAGGGCTTTTAAAAATAATTTTTTAATTTTCTTTATTTTTAGAATTATGACTCATCGCAGTTAACTGCTCTTTCTGCTTTATTAAATAAAAACCGTCCAATAGTTGCAGTTCATGGAGCGGCAGGAACAGGCAAAACACTTCTTTTGGCTCAGTATTTGGATATTTTGTCAAAATCTGACGAAACTAAAGATATGCCTATTGCCGTTATTTCACCTTCAATTACTTCACTTTATCGACTTATTGACCTTTATTGTTCTATTGCTAGCAAAGAAATGTTGAAAGAAATACCTTTTATTAGTATGATTGAATTTAATGTGGCTGGTTCTTATTTTTCTATAAAAAATCAAAATGTTTTACAACTTGTAAAAATGGCTAGTTTTCATAATTTTCAAAGGATTTACGATGAAGGGACTTTAAGGATTTCAGAAGAATTGAAAATATTGAGGAGTCAAAGAAGGTTTTTATATTAATTTTGGAAGAATTCCGTCATATGTCCCGGAAACCGATTCGGACAAAAGATATGTCATTCGAAAGTGCTCGCCGAGCTGAGTCGAACGGCATCAAAATTAGCTTCGGGACTCATCTATGGACCGAGATATAGGTCCCCAAAAATTGAAAAACAATAGGGGGGAGTAAGCTGATTTTTGGGGTGAAAAATTCGATTTTACAAATTTTAAAGAGCTTTTCGTGCCGATTCGAATGACGCTTTTGTTCCCTTGTCAGCTCGGTGAGCCCTTTCGGATGACATATCGTTTGTCAGAATCGGTTTCCGGGACATATGACGGAATTTTACCAAATTTTTAATATTTAAAGGAACCAGAATTCATTGACTCAACGCATGATTGGTTTAATTGACGAGGAAATTAGCAAATTTATTAAAAAGAGGCGATTTGTGTTTTTAACATTTAGCTTTTCAAGACTACAATTTCTAGAACGAATTGGTGTTAAATTTAGCGGAGTAATTGTTGACAATGCTGAAAGACTAAATGAACAAGAGAATTGGCATGCAATTCTAAAAACGGTTTGTTTTGAATTTATAAAGGGTTTTTGGGTAATTTTGAATTTCGTTTTCCTTTTTTCCTTCCTCGATGTGCACATTGATCAGGCATTCCTTCCTCACTTTCACTAGTACTATAAGTAATTGAAGTTATCTAAAATCCCAGATGCTGTCCTTCCATCAGAAACTTTCTCTATCTTGCCTCGATATTAGCAGTTTTAATAGGCAAAAATGAATCTGCATTCCTTTCAACAACAAAAAAAGAAGAGTGTTTGAGACTCTTGTTCTAGTATTCCAGAAATACAATCATATTTTTCATGATTGGCACAAATTTTTGATTTTTAAATTGAAAAACTTTTAATTTTAATTTTTCAGTCACCTTTTGTCAGATTATTTGGAGACTATTGTCAGTATAGTCAAAAAATATCAAATGAACAATCAAAGTTAGATTATAACAAGACTCTCCTTCAAAGACTTGATGAAGATTTTGATGGTGATTCTAATGTTAATTTTCATCTTAACCGTCAATATACTTCAAATCCAGCAATTCGAGCTTGGGGAGATTCTGTTTTTTATAAAGAAAGGAAAACTATCCCGGCTACTAAATTTGTTGAAAATATGAATTTAAATGAAATTTTGAAGCCAAACATGAAAAGCACAATAAAATTAGTGACAGAACCTTTAGTTTTGGTTGATATTAGCAGATTGGAAGGGGAATGGAAAAAATCAATGTTTGAGGTTTTTTTAATTTAAAAATTTTGCCGCTGTAGTGTAGTGTACCGGTGGTAAAAGTTCGGGATGTGGTTTATGTTACGAGCGAACGTAGACTCCCCGCGAGGCGCGTGCCGCAAAACCACGCGCGAAGCGCCGACGCCCCATAGGTTTATGTTGTTTGTTTTTCTATTGTAACTTTGTCCAAACTTTTACAATCAAGCTGATTTTGGTGTCATTCGGCTCAGCTCGACGAGCTCTTTCGAATGAGCTATTAAATGCTTTTTCAAATTTTTCACCCCAAAATCGAGCTTACTCCCCCCTTTGGTTTTTCAATTTTTCGGGACCTATAACTCGGCCCAGAATCATTTCCTAAAATAGGGAGTGGTACCGTTCGACTCAGCTCGTCGAGACGAATCGAATGAGATATGTCACGTCCTGAACTTTTACCACCGGTACACTACACTATATCCAATTTTGAAAATTAATTGCTCAATTTTAGTCAGAAAAGGTTGCTATTACAAATGTCCAATATAATTACGAAGCTTTTCGAAATTGGGGAATGGCTCTAATAACTGCCCAACACATTAATCTTTTAATTGATAATGGAATTGATCCAAAGGAAATTGCTTGCCCTTTGAGCAGTTTTTATCATCATCTTATTTTGGAAGAAGTTTTTGGTAAATGTTTGATTTTATAGGGGACACTCACGAATCTGGAGAATAATCTAAAAGCCTTGTCTTTTTGGTGTGCGCCAAAATTTTGGCGTTTACTCTGGCGTTCTTACCAATTTTTTTGAACTATATTTTTATTTTTTAGCGCCGCAGGCGGAATTTTTTTTAAATTGCAAGTCAAGAGGCCAGATTTCTTCCATTTTCAGCGCCGCAGGCGAAGATTAGTTTTTTTACTTTTCTGCTCGATCCCGTCCTCAAATTTTTCCCTTTTCCCCATTTCGAGGGGGGCTTTAGCCCCAAAAGCCCCCCTGGCTACGCCCTTGCCAACTTCTCAAATTAAAAAACTATATATAAGACCCGTTATGTCCTTGATTCTACAATGTTGATTAGAGATAGAAAATGAAGGGGAGAAAAGATAATTTTATTCAAAATCTTTTAGGAATTCTTTGGCCACATAATTTATCCAAATCCAAACGAATTTGCAGTCGAGTCCCGCGAATGCTTTCTGGACTTCATTTTTCGGTTTATATTCGTGCATTTTTGGACAATGAATTTGCTAGTACGGAGAATGATTATCTAAAATTATTAACAAATTGGAATTTTGGATTATCAAAAGCGAAATATCAATTTATGTTAATTTGTGACAGCAATAATTTGAAAAATAATTGTATTCCAAGTAAGTATAGAAGGAGGTGTTTGGGGACATAAACTTATACCCTCCTCTTTTTAAGATTAGAATTATTTAAAATTTTTTCTTGGGGAATGAGGACCTTACTATATCGTTTTTTTGTTGTTATTTTTTATTTTAGAAATGGAAGAAATGCTTGAATGTTTTCAATCAACTAGAGGAGGTATAATTGTTGGACCAAACGATATTTTTCCTTTAAAGAATGGGCAATTTGAAGAAATTAAAAATTTAGCTAAAAAGAGATTAAGAGAATTTAAATAATTTTTTTATGTTTAACTTGTTTTAAATTATAATTTAAAAATTGAAACGGGTTTTTAAAAATGTATTTTTTTAATTTGTTAAAGTTATTTTTATGACTCGTTATAAAGATTTGATTTGTCTTTAATAAGAATGGTTCCAACAAGGTGATATTATGCTTATGATGAAGTTGCAACACCAAAGAAGAAGACAAAGATGCAGTCTGTTGGTTCTAAAGATAAGATGAAATGCCGTTCTGAGGGTTCAAATAATTCTGTGGGATAGATGAAGAAAAAGTAAAATAACTAAGATAAAATATTTTGTTTGTATAATTTTGTTTTGTTCCCTTATACCCTTATTTTTGTATGTATTTGTTGACCGGACTTTGTTATTGTATGTTTTGTATTGTGGTGTTGTAACCTCACCCTTTCAAAAAGAGAGAGATGTTGTGGAGTGGTGGCTAGTATTTAAACCTTATTAAAATACTATAAAAGCCACACTTAATTGTCAGACCGTGTCTCCTAATTGTTATCCCAGCCTTATTATATTTCTTCAACCTTATTTATTTCTTTTGTGTATTAAACACATTGTTGTATTGCTACTTTATTGTTGTGCAAGGACACTCGTTACGATATTCTGAGCCGCCAATCGCAGTTTCTTCTTGAAGCTATTCACGTGCTGTCTGTCCGCAGTGGGATTGTAAACGAAAACCATGTTAGTCGTGCCCGTGATGTTCTCCGACGGTGAATTTTTTTCGTTTTACATAAAATATGCAAAAAATTCCGTTTTAGTGTCCGTGGTGGGATTGGCAAGACACGAGCAAAAGGCGGACTATCACGGTAAGTTTTGAGACTTATAAAACAATTTTTGAATTTTTAGTAACCGTGGCTGAGCTGCTGCGAGCATCAATAACACGGTAGGACGATACTATACTTGTGCAAAGAAAGATAAATCGAATTTCTAATAAATGATAACCTGATAAATCGAAATTCTATAAGATTAATTTTATCATAGTATTGTAATTATTTCATATCTAAATTTATTTCACAAAATATTAATTTAGAAAGTTTTTTAAATCACGGACTTTAAGAGAGAAAAGAAAAATAATTGAATTTGTTTCCAAGGAAACGAGGAAATAAATTCTAATAAAAATCCGGCCTCTAATTATTATGTTTACCAAGAGATCATTGTATTGGATTTTGATAACCAAAAATTAACTGAAAAAAACTTTTTTTTTAATTTTTAAGTTAAAGGATTTTTAATTTTGGCGGTTCCAATTCTACTTCTGGAACCGGAACCGGCTTCGGAACACGGGTCCAAACCGGTTCCAGGCATCTATCGGTTCCAGTTCCGGAACCCCCACATAACTCGGAACAACCCTAATAAATACAAAACACTATCCACATTTATTTATCGTGCAAACATATGTAAGTATACTTTAAAATAACGTACAAATGTTAACACAAATTGAAAATATAAAGATGATTATATATATTTTTGAGTGAGAAGAAAAATCCATGTTTTGTGAATTTTAATTTTTTAAGAAAGTTGCCGTGAATGGCAATTTTTTATTTTTAAAGATAAAAGACAAAAAAAATACAAGTCAAAAAGAAAAGGGAAAGAAGGAGGTGATGAAATAAAATATACATAGTAGTAAAAGAAAGAATTGTGTTTTTGTTTCAAATTTTTTTTTGAAAAATACCTCTTTTTGAAAATGGCTTTTATTTAATTCCTAGTAAAAGATTAAACATTAAGTTTAAATATATTTATGTATGTGGATATTACACATAAAAAGTTACAGAGGGAAAATTACTTTTGTGGTTCTTCACATCTGCCCAAACTACTTAACATTTAAATTGAAATAAAAAAGAAAAAAAGAGAGCAGGCCAACGTACGGAGCCCAGCGTACCGCAGAGCTATAACTTTGTTCAAAATAGTTGAATCCGGGACGCCTTGATAAGGTTGATGCATCTCGACGAGCTGAATCGAACCATATCAGGGCGTCCCGAATTTGACCATTTTGAACGAATAGCTCTGCGGTACGTTGGCCTCGCGGTACGTTTGGGTGTACCCACTAAACATAAAGGTGTAACGCTTTTCATCTTTGAAGGGAATTTTTTTTTTGAAAAATTTTTCAATTTAATAAATCATCTAATAATTTCTCTTTTCTGTAACTTTCTTAAATAAATGCAAAATAAACAACAAAAAAAGAAAAAAAGGAAAGTTGGCCAAAAAAGAGGTAATTTTTGAATTTATTTTTTATTTTTTTGATTGACGACCAGAAAATTAATTTCTTTTATTTTTTTCTCTCCTTTTCTTATTTTCTCTCCCCCAAAAAAAGTCAAATGCCAAATAAAAATTTTTACGCTTCTCCTTTACTCTTATCCTTGCAATGGAGCAGAAGATGTAACATAATCTGAAGTATTCGCAACAGAACTTGTATTGATAACAGAAGATGTGGCTGTATTTACAGCTTCCAAACCTCCTCCTGGCGTTGAGGAAGATTTTTTTCTGTTATCTAATTCTGTTGATACTCTCTCTTGGTGTTCTGAAGTTGAAGACATTTCTCCTTTTGCTTCTGGCTCTACTTTGTGGTTACCGCCCTAAAAATTGAGATTAAATTAAAAAAGAAATAAATTCAATTAAATTTTTATAACATTCCCACCAACCCCGGTAAAATTCTCCATTGAGCCAGTTGCCAAACTTGGTGTACTACAAACTTGTTGCTGTGCTGCATATTTGGGGAAAAGCTAAAAGAAAAAATTTATTAGTGAAATTAAGGAATAGATTAAATCCTAAATTTTGAAAAAGCAGTGCTTCAAAAATGCTGATCGGAAAAAATTTTCATTTAAAAACAGAGGGTGGAGAATTTTTAAAATTTAAAATTGGTTCAGGGATAGGGTCCTCCAAAATATGAAAAAGACCTCTGCCGGTCCTTTTAACAAAGAGTAATTATAGTAAAAGTAATGGTTAACTCATTGTGAGAGAATAACAAATCGTTACCAGGGTCCTTTAGGGGGCATTTCCCCCTTTTTGACTTTTTCGCCCCTTTTTTCCCTATTTTTTATATGTCACCTTTTCGCCTCTTTTTGGCCAATTTTGCCCCTTTTAATGATTTGGAAAGGATTACACTGATCGTTGCCCAAACTCTCTCCCTAAAAATTCCAAACCTTATCCTGAAGTTGCGGATCAATAGCCAATTCAGCATCGGAGAAATCAAACAATGGTGGCATTGGATTAGAAGAGGGCAACTTACAATTCGGCAGCCGCAATTCATCGAAAAACTCGTGAGCTAGTGCTTCGAACGGGCTTTAAAAAAAGAAAATTTATTTGAAAAAATGAAAATTTAAAAAACCTCAAACGAGCATCAGGAGTGTATTTCAACAATTTCGAGACTAGATCGATTGCGTCTGCGGGTGTACGTGCACGGAAAACCTTAAAAGATTTTTTCTTGAATTTTTAAATAAAAAAATTACCCTCGACCAAGGATGAGCTCGAATCATTGGAAAACGAAATTCTGTATAATTTGGATTCATTTGTTCAATTTCATCACGCGAAGGTGTTCCCAATACTTTAATTATTTCTACAAGCTGGTCAACTCCTGCAATTTTTAATTTTAAAGAAAAAACAAAAAATGAGTAAATACCAGAATCGCCAGGGAAGAAAGGCTAAAAATTGAAAGTTTAAATTTTAAGGTATTTATGTAATAATATAAATGAAGGGATAACCGAGCAAATTTAGGAAGTTTCATGTCTCACTGGGACATACGAAAACCCCATAGAATTTCAAAAATATAACAAAGATTTCGATTTATCTGATAAATTACAAACCTGCCCCAAAAGAAGTTCGGCCAAAACAGTGCCTGCTGACCAAACGTCAATTTTTGTTGTGTAGTCAGTCGCTCCAAAAATTAATTCTGGAGCACGATAATAACTAAAAGGAAAAGTTTAAATTAAAATAAAAATTAAAAACAAAACCGAGAACATATATAAGCAACATTTGGTTCTCCTGGAACAAGCATTTTGGCTGATCCAAAATCACAAAGCTAAAAATAAATAATTTATTTTTATGTTAAATCTTTGGATAAAAAGAAGTAAGAAATGAAGTAAAGATATCTACTTGAGATCGAGATTTTTGAAACGTCTAGGCCTGTTACTGGGTTATTTTTTTATTGATCTAAGTAGGATCCTCGGCGTGTAGTCCAGAAAAACCCGAGTAAAGTCAATAATGCCTGGGCCTGGACTCTGAGTACAGGAAAAACCCAGGCCTTGATCCAGACCCAGCTCAATCTCTAATATCTACAAATTTTTACAATAGGAGTATACGCAAAAATTTGTCCGCAAATCTACAGTCAAATAGGACCCAAAAAAATTTAATGAATCGAGGAACCAGAAAAATCCTAGCTGCTAATTTCAAAAAAGATTTATTTACGATGAAACTCCCCTTAAAATATAACTCAAATTAATTGAAATTAAAAACCTTTAAAACAGAAGTCTGAGCATTCAAAAGTAAATTTTGAGGTTTTATATCACGATGGCAAATACCTAAAAAACAAAAATTGATAAATAAAAAACTTTATTTAAAAATAACCAATGCTGTGGATATATCCTAGAGCACGAAATAGTTGGTACATATAAACTTTATTGTAAAGAATTGGAATTATCTGCCTTTGTTTGGCATAATGACGAGCAACTGAAAATATTTTTTATTGGGAAATTGATAAAGAAAAATCAACCAAAAGATGGGAACACGAACTAGTTTTAGTTGAATAAAAAATATTTCTTGTCAGTTTTCCTAATCGGGTCAAACACAAAGTTGGAAATATAATCTCACACTTACCTGCTAAATTTATATAAATTATTTACGGCATTCAATCAGTCAAGTAATTTAAAAAGTTATAAAAATAAGTAAATTAATAGAGATCGGGTAATCGCATTTGCAGGATCCTGTATCAGGATTGGGTTTTAAAATTTCGAAAAGGACAGGATCCTGCAGGATTAATAATGAAAATCCTGGAATCCTGAAAACTGAAAAAAGGCAGGATTTTGGACAGGATCCTGAAAAATCCTGTGCAGGGCCAGTCCTGTGCCGATCTCTATAAATTAAGAATAATTCTAGTTAACAATTTGAAAAAAGGATTAGCATTTAGGACAAGAGAAGAACAAAAAGGACTAGTAAAGAGTTTTTCAAATTATTCCTTTGGATCAGGGATGGGACGAAACCCGAACATTTTTTCGACCCGAAACCCAACCAAAGAAAAATTCCAAAACCCGACCCGACTGATTTCTCAACCCGTCCCATCCCTGCTTTGAATTAGCAATTTTTATTTTATCAAAGAATGAGACAATTGGCTGACCTATTTGGACTAAATGGTTGATTTTAAAAATGGGCCCCAACAACAATACTCTTATATAGGTC